AACTAATACATGTGTGTGTCCAAATATGCTATAGTGTATATGTATATGCATGTGTGTGTGTTGTATGTGTGTGTGTGTGTATGTGAGTGTGTGTGTATTTACATATGTGTAACGTAACATAAAATAACTGATGTTTATATTGTATGTAAGTTATTTTTTCTTAAAAGAAGTCTTTTGTATGCGATTTACCGATAATCTATCCCATTAACACATTTATACATACGGGCAAATGCTTTCTACTTCAAGTTTTTATTCAAAATTACCTATTTTCTATCATTCTATGTGTTCATTTATGTCCATCAACCAAAACTATCTTTCATTATTACAGTATGTTTGTTATCAATTATTATCTATCAGAAATATCAAGGAAAACACATATGGCGTATGTAAATCTATGACAATAACTTCAAGGATCACACCACAAAGTGATATTATATTTGAGGATATTAATTATTAATATATAATAATAATAATAATATTTTGTTTTATTATTATTATTAAAATATTATTTGCGTATATAGCCGGGATTTTTTTTATATAGAAATCAGTCATTGCAATAGCAATCACATAATAATAATATATATAAAACTACCAACTTTTTTAATCATTTTTATTATAATTATTGTTATTATTGTTATTATAATTATTATTATTATTATTGTTTATCATTATTATTATTATTATTATTATTATTATTATCATTTTCATTATTATTATTATTATTATTATTATTATTACCATCATCACCATCATCACCCTCAACGAATCATCATTGTTACCATCACAATAATAAGAGTCAATAAAAATTTTTATTACTCCGTTATTAATAATAATAATAAATAAATAATAATAATATTATTAATATTAAATAATAAGAATAATAAAAATTTTCTTTGTATTTTTTTATTATTTTTATTATTGCAGCTAGCAATTGATACCACCAATCAGCCAGTAGTGCATAATTAAATATAGAATAAGCTACGTAATATTGAATTAACAAACTGCCATTGTTTTAAAAGTGTTTCAAAATTAATTGCCGTGCACTAGAGAGGTTGTAGTCGTCATCGCGTTTGGCTTTTGTTGTGACAGCAGCTGTTGACGCTACTACTACTGCTGCTGTAGTAGTTGTAGTAGTGGTAGTAGCTATAGTAGTAGTAGTTGCAGTAGTGGTAGTTTAGTTAGTTGTTGTTGGTGTTTTTGTGGCTGTAGGTTATGGATGTTGTTGTGGTTGATGTTTTTTGTTATTGTTGTTATAATATGTGTATGTATGAGTATGTATGTATGTGTGTGTGGTTTTGTGACAAATCTTCAACTTCTTCGTGCAATGGTTTTCTGAACAAATAATTATAAATAAACAAGTGATCTTTTTGTATCAATATTTGCTCATCGGCTATATGAGAGATTGTTTGTTGGCATAAAAATATGCATGCATGCAAGCAAACTGAAGAATTGTGATACAGTGTATTTGTTATACATACTGTGCTTATTATGTTATTTGATTTAATACTGCTGCTACAACTACTACTGTGGTTGATTCTGCTACTTTAACTGCTGCTGCTACTACTACTACTACTACTGGTTTGTTTGCGTGGCTGTTTCTGCAACTTCTACAGCTGGTACAACTACTACTTCAATTACTGCGGCTGTTACTTTTACTGCTACTAGCGCCAGTACTACTGTTGGTAATAATGTCAGTAAAATACTATATTTCTCATTACTACAATATGCTGGTGTGCGTGTATAACGGTTGTGATAATGTTAATTATAAGGATAGGGTCGATTACGAGTAAGACAGGCCGGGAACTCCAGAAAAAAGCCTTCATAAGGATGATGAAAGTTCTCAAACTCTAAAAACTTTATTCAACTTTGTTCAAGCAGTCTTTCTTTCCCGTAACCAAAAGTACCGGGTTTACTTTGAAACATTTTTTTAAATATTTGCCATTTTACTCTGAAAATAATTTGTAACCTCAGGATTTCAGACCTCCGAATTTGGCCCTTGCCGCGGTCCAAAGGCCCTTCCCTTGTTTTAAACTCCTGATAACAATTTCTACTTGACTCGTGCAATTAAAAAATACATCCTAAAATAAATAGAAATGAAACTTTTTCTTAATCCTTCATCTGCCGCCGTTCACATTTTTATGTTTCTACTAATGCAAATATTATTCATATCATAGTTATAATATATAATATAAATAATAATAATAATTATTATTATTATTTCTATTATTATCGAGTTTTCACGAGAAACGTGTCTCGTTTAAAGACTCGGAAAAACTGAAAATATAATACATAATAAATACAATCGACATTTATTTACATTAGGGGAATATTAATTACCAATTATTTTTAAAATAAATTTCCTAATGGTGAAATATTTTGTTATTAATACAACTGGTTGGCACGATAGTGTAGCGGTAAAGTGCCTGGCACTGCTGTCTGTTGCAGTCACCGGATTCAATTGCAAATAGATCCCCGCATTCTTCTTCTTCCTTCTCGTGCCTTATCCTTTCAGGACATTGGCGACCATCGACCTCCACAAAACCCGATCTTCAACACTTTGTAGTAGTTGAAATGTGGTGATATTCAACAAGTGACACAAGGACTTCACGAATGTTGTTCGTTGTTGACCGCGATCTCTTTTCTCTGCAATCTTTCCAGTAGTTGTTAGATTTTCCATTTTTTCCTTCCGCATGATGTGATCAAGAAATGTGACAGGTGTCAATTTCTCAATTGTGACAGTGATCGTAACACAGTTGTTTGTAAAATCAAGATAAAATTTGAGAAAATCAAAAGTGAAGTGGCCACAAAAAGTTTGAATTTTGTCGGTCTGTCACAAAATGATGAGATCAAGGTCAAGTAAAACGTTGAAGTTCGGAATCGTTAAATGAATCTCAGCATATTAGGTTTGAGCAAAACTATTTGGAAGAAATCAACCTTTGGAGGAGGCAAATTTATCTACTCTGGAAATGGTTCACACGAACGAATGTGACAAACAATGTAACAGCTAGATTGAAAGGTTTTGCTTGCATTTTGACCAACAAATTGTCAACTATCATTTTGTCAACTCTCTGACACCGCCCGGAAACATTCTTAATTTTTAGACATCTCATTGTTCGATTGTACACCTACTCTTCATTTATGTTAATCACCTCCAGAGCAGATAAATTTGCCTTTGGAAAGCGATTCCGTACTTCAACGAACTTGACTCTGGTCTCCTCATTTTGTGATAGACCGACAGAAAAAATTCAAACGTTTTTTGGCCAGTTCACTTTTGACTTTCTCTAACTTTATTCTGATTTTAAATTGACACTTGATTTTTTCCCACAAAGTTTCGCTCAAACCAAAAATGCTGACATTCATTCTTTTCATTTCTTGTTTTACGCGTTCAAGTTTTCCAGTTTGGTAGAACGTTCTAGCGTTCCACATTGCCAGAAGAAAAGGTATATTCAAATTGTCACTAGATCCTGGCATACCGCATGCAATCACTGCAATGGTAAATAAAATATACCATTAAAACATTTTTGTTTTAATTAATTAAAATTTATTAGGTAAATCCACGCAAATTAATAAATGTATAAGTACATTAATTAATTAATTAACTGTCGTCTTGAATATAGAATGAGAAAAATATGTGATTAACAATGTTAATGATATGTGTGAATTTTATGTTTGCAGTGCTTCATTGTACCAGGCTTGCTAATGAAGTTCTCTGCTTGAAGAATCATTTTGTATTCTGTAAATTCCATTTGTTTATTATTAATTCATTCATTTTTTTAATTATTCGTTCGTTTGTTCATTCGTTTGACTTCATACATTTTTTAATCATTCGTTTTCCGTTTGTTCGGTCATTCAAACAATAATTTTTTTTGTTTTTATCTCTGTGGTAATTCTCTTTCCACTATTTGTTTATTTTTTTATTCATTCGTTCATTCATTCATTCATTCATTCGTTCGTTCATTCGTTTGTTTGTTCGTTCGTTCGTTCATTCATTCGTTTATTCTTTTATTTCATCCTTTTGTTCAGTCAATGTTTTTTTCGCTTATCAACCCATACGTTAATTTACACAACGCATGTCAAACAACCATACAGTCTACAATTTTCCAGAACCAAATAAATTAAACAAATTAATCAAAAATGTGAAAAAATTTACACGAAATGAAAATAAAAAACCTCCCGAATTGTAAAAAATAATTAAATTTTTAATTTATAATTTTTTTTAGTAAATTAGATGAATGAATACATATAACCTTCATGACGCACGTATTTATAGTAGATACACCTACAGTAACCAGCACACGATCAAATCTTTCACAAACATACAAACTCGAGTACACGTACATACACACATACAAACATACAAAACACATACAAAACACACATGCAAACATATACACACACAAACACGAACGTACAAACTTGCGTACACATGGACATACACACAAATACATACAAACAAATTTACACACAAACACAACAAACACATACACACACATTCAAATATACACATACACACACCTACAAAAACATATATAAACACATACGCACACAAACACAGACATACTAACATTCAAGCAACAGAGTCCACACGCACAACTACACACACCACATAAAAACAAGTGCTCAAATATACAAAACTATACATTTAGACAGAAAAACATTTAGGCAAACAAACGAAACTGTCAGACAAACAAAAAAAAACTCGACAAAAATACAACGTGAAAACATACCGACAGAAACAACCAAGCCCACATACAACCATGCAGCAGACATAACATACACATACACACACAAATAAACAGACACATACATACAAGCAAGCACACACATACAAACAAGCAAACACACAAAGAAACGGACAGGCAAAAGATGCAATGCACATGTCTGTACCGTAATGAGAATCTTCTAAATTATTTTACACTTCATAAAATTAACACATACACACTCATATACACACACACACAAATACACACACACATACATACATACATACACACACACACATACATACATACATACACAACACACATATACACATACATTCATACATACACACACACAGTTACAAATTTATATATATATATACATTACACCGCAAATGTTAGATCAATGTTCAATGAGTACATCAGTGATTGGTACAGTACAATACTACAAAGGTACTAGAAAAGTACCAATAGGTACACCAAAGTATTACAAAGGTACTAAAAGGTACTGAGAGATACTTTGTAGTTTCAGGTTTCATTTGATCAGTTAAAAATTTGCATCCAAACAATGATCTTTTTGAGTTTTATAAACCCATGGGTGATTTTTTTTCATTGATTTACACTTAGGATAACTCACTTATTGAAACTAGTTACTTCGTTTTTTTTTGAACATTTTCAGCGAACACTAATTCATAGTACTGTAGTAATTACTATTGCATTTACTAATTATGACCCTTACAGTTACTACCAATTATAAGCTACGTAGTTGTATCCAGTGTTAAGATATAGTTGTTGCAGTAGCTACAACAAATCCTAGCTACGACTAATCCACAAAGTACGAATCTTTGTTGCAAGGCTGAATTATCATTCAATAATTTTTTTCTTTTACTTTCTAAACAGTTTCTGTAACTGACGATTAAGATTTTAAGATTTGAAAATTGAAATTTTTGGGATTTTTAAGATTTAAAACAGAATTTTCAGCACAATCTCCGCTGAGTAAGCCCTATATTTTGTTATTGTCAGCATTCCTGATTGAATGCATTAACACTGGACCAATCAAAGTTTCATGAAATCTAACAAATTTAAAATACAAGTTAAATAAAAATTATTCTCTAATGAATTTAGCAATATTATTAAGGAATAATTAACATCGTAATATGGGGTGATCCTAGCAATGATATTAAGAAATGATTTCGTGATTTGGAATGATTCTAGCAATGATATCATATCATAAACTTTGGAATGATTCTAGCAATGATAGCATATCACAAACTTTGGAATGATTCTAGCAATGATATCATATCATAAACTTTGGAATGATTCTAGCAATGATATCATATCATAAACTTTGGAATGATTCTAGCAATGATATCATATCATAAACTTTGGAATGATTCTAGCAATGATATCATATCATAAACTTTGATATCACGCGATGTAAGGTAAAGTGTCGCGAGATGTCATTAAGAAGAAGATAGGAGAAAGACAGAATGAAACAATTTTTTTTAATTTAAATTCCTAAAATTTAATTTAATTTCATACATTGAAAAAATTTTATTGCGTGTTTTGTTTTAGTAATTAAGACATTGATCCATATCGATCGAGTATAGACACACAGGTAAGATGGCTAGCTAGGTAGGTAGGTAGGTAGGTAGGTAGGTAGGTAGTAGGTAGGTAGGTAGGTAGGTAAGTAGGTGGGTGGGTGGAACTGCTTAATTTTGCCAGCACTGTCTCGCTACTTATCTCAAGTAGTAAATACTCTTCTGAATTTATAACTTTTCAGATAACGGCAGCATGATTAATGATCATAAGGTAGGACGTCTATGGCGGATGTGACAAATTTTAAAATATAATCAGTCGTATGTTGAGTATGTGAGTGTGTGTGAATGTGTGTGTGTGCGCGCGTATGTGTGTGTGCGCGTATGTGTGTGTGTGTGAGTGTGATGTGTGTGTGTATTTGTATTTTTTATCATATTTTTCAGGATATCCTGGAAAATGTACATCCATCCATCAGCCATCCGGTCAAGCACACAAAGCAAGTTGCCACATTCGAAGATGTTGGTATTTTAAAAACAATTCAGGTTTGATTTGAAAATGAAACATTGAACAGGTGATTGAATGAAAAACTGACATCAGGCTTAAAATGTCTTTTAACCGTATTCAATTGAATTGATTTGTATAGCTCCAAAAAAAAAATATTCTCCAGAAGCCGTGCCAACTAATAAAAACATTTTGTCTACATCTTTTAATGTTTTTGGTTAAACGATCGTCCGTGTGTTTTAGATACACGACCAATCCCGTATAACAAACACTCCATGGCAAAACACACACCCGAGCTTTGTATATACAAAATGTATTTATCTGCCGATAGCTACGTATATACATTGAAATGTGTTGCATTTATAAACATGCACACACACACACACACACACACATACACACACACACACATACACACAATTACTGTATATACATTGACACAAATATACATAAACGTGTATCTGTGTGTATATACACGTATGTGTGTGCGTGAGTGTGCGTGCGTGCGTGCGTGTGTATTTTCTGTATGCGGTTGTGTGTATAGCCTATACATATGGTATTGTGTTAGTGTAACATGGGGATGATCAAAATATTACCAAAACGTTTAACGATGTAAGCAGGATTGGTAAGAAATCTACAACGATTTATCTTCTTCATCTCTATTTTTATTGTTTAAATTTAGTTATTGAAATATTTTTCGTAATATATCACGATTATTTTGATGAATTAGCGCAATGGTTAAGACGCGGTTTGAACACAA